TTGGGGCCCATGGAGAGGCATTTCGCCTCCACCTACTTCCCTATGGACATTTCTGGTGCTTGCTACCAGCGCAGAGGACACAAAAAAATACTACTTTGTGCCTACCAGTAGAAAAGGTAGTCGAGGCGCGGACAATCCATACACTCTTCTAATCGTCTCGTCCGTATCTCCCTCCATAAATGTTGTGAAGGCAAAGTCGGCGTCTAAGCGGTCCAGCACCTGAGTTCGCAGTCGGCGCACAGTTTTGTTACTAATGCTTTTGATGGTGTCCATCTATATCTAAGGAATATTTTATCCTCCGTTTGCGACACAAATATTTTAACCTTCGCAAACATAGCAGCAGTAAGGAAATCTTCGCGCAACATATAACAGAACACGGGTAATTCCCGCGGGGGACGCTAGTGCATCCGGGCGATTCCGAATGGTGACCGCGAGTCCCCCTTACTGCCTACGGGTTTGGTACGGGTAAAGTGGACAAATCGGATATTTGCCTAAAAGTCCGTAGAGTTGGCTCGAATAATTCCCGCGGCCGGCGCCGTTACGTGGGGGCAGGTAATCCCCGGGCGATTCCGAATGGTGACCGCGAGTCCCCCTTACTGCTGCTGAATATGATCAAATGCGCATTCCAAATTAAAAACATCATGAAATACAATACAAATGTGAAAAACGTATAGTATCGTATATGTCTAATGATTTGAAAAACACTATATATCATATYATATATATTATATCATATCATATCATAGACCAAACCCAAAACCTGCACCGATGCGAGACCAAAGTCTGCTGTATGTTTTGAAGGAAAGAGCTAGACATCCTACTCACAGAAATTCTCAGTGATTTTCAATGGATCTCTTCACGTAATGTATTTCTATTTTAGTTCACGTGTCATTCTCTTGTCATTCCCCATTCCCTTCTTGAGATGTGCTAATTGTGTCTTCTCATGCCCCAACCATTAAACAAAGAAATGATACTATAGCGAACGACACGTGCTCTGAAATGGGAAAACACTGCGCCCAAGGTAAAGAGGTCTTTTTAAAAGAATGGTAGTCATAATGGTGTGATAACAATATGCCTTTTTTATCTTTTCTTTTCTTTAGTAAACAAGGTCATAGACGAGATGGAAAAACTGAAAAAATGTAAGCAAAACTCTTTCATTTTAATTATCAATAACAAGGTTAATGTAGAAAAGCGGTAGTAATAGCGGAAGCAATAGGAAAGGAAAAGCAGTATGGTTACAGGTAGCCCAATTTAGATAAACGTGATACATGAAAATAAAATCGGAAAAATTGAATAGATAATTCGAGGACAAGATAATATCATCCGTAATACGAAAGACTAAAAAAATCGAATAATTCAACACAATATCAGGTTTAGTGAAAATTGCGATTTTTTTTTTTTTGCCATTTAACTCGAAATTTTGGAGATTTCCGAGTACTTTTTCAGGACAAAATGCACTATTATGAATGCTGGTTAATAATGAAAGAAAGAAAGAAAGAAAGAAAGAAAGAAAGAAAGAAAGAAAGAAAGAAAGAAAGAAAAAAGGAAAAAGCTTTACTTCTCTTATATAGCAATAGGATTTTTTTTTCGTTTTTTCCAATTTTATTAACACCTATCACTTTTAATTGGGCTTCCTGTGGTATGGTACGAAAAAATTACTGGAACTCAATAACTTTGCCATCTATCAGGCTGTGGCACTTTCTGTTTTGAAAGTTTGGAATCTAGTACGTTTATTAACTCTTATTAATTTACGAGTCACTACAAAAAATCCAGCTGCAATCAAAATTTTAATGCTAAGTAGCAGTAAATTATAATAATACTAGAAGGAAAAGTAAGAAATTACTTACAAGTTATTGCCTTCGTCAATTCTCGACTCGCAATGTACTCTTGATATTCTGGGTCATGTCTTAGTAACTTACAGTTTTATAAACTTAAACAACAACCTTTGTCTTGTTTTGTTTTTCATCAAAAAGGCATAGCTATGCATTGTTTTAATATTAATATACGCAATAAATATTAACCGCTTTCTAACTTACGTAGCACGCTGATCTGTAAACTACGACCTGCATCCTAGTCTTGTAAAGTATACCTTTTTTGGTCTACAGGAGCAAAGTAGTGGGGGRAAAAATCAAGCAACGAAATTTCACTCTAAGCGCGCGTAAAAATCGATCGAGCGCAACAAGCAAAGAATTCGTTGACAAAATTTATCCATCGCATGTGATCCTGTTTGGGCTACTTGTGTTTTATTCAGCACGTATGAGCTAATATGGATACCAAGGTCTTTGCGAAAGTCTAACATTTCAGCAGCTATAATTTATAACAAAACTTTTATGCTCGTTAAATTATTATCCACAGCCAAGACTGACGAGGAACTCGCGAAGAAAATTCGTAAAGGTAATTAGAATAAACTGCATAACATAACTCAGCGTTTCCATCAAGCAAATCTTATGACCGACAGTAAATATATGTAACAATCACACAGGTCTTACAAAATAGGCGCTTAATAAGCGCATGCGTCTAATGGCTTAATTAGTCTTTAAAACGTAATTAGAGCATGGACTAAACAATAATTTAGTTCTTAAGCACGTGAGGCTCGCCATTCTGATACCTACCTAAAGTAACTAAATTGATTTTAATTGTTTCAATTTTTATTTTACTTCTTCGATCTTCTACGAACTTCGAAGACCAAGCTAATTTCATAACTAAATGAGTGTGCAGTGTAATATTATGATAAGACTGTATTGCAGGGTAGTCGTTTTATGTATCTACTTATCCACTTCATAGGGCTTTACTTCGCTTTCATAAGAAAACTAGCAAACTATAAAACTAGAACATGAAATGACATATAATAATGTTTTTTTGAGAAAAAGACACTCACCTCTCCCTATTGAAACCAAAGTTCGAGTCCTGCGTCGGTGTTGTATGTTAGTAGGGATGCTTATTGAATCTCTCCTGTGCTTCTCTTGCTTTTCTTGGGTTCTCTTGTTTTGCTCCCTACACAAAAACTCAAGTGGAAGGAAAACCATTCCGTGGAATCCGTTGTTTTAATTAAAAATGCCATTTATTATTATTTTCTAATGATAATCCGATTGCCAACACGAAGTTTTAATTGACAGCTAGAAACGCCCTATAATGTGTTTGTTTTGTCTTAGGCCTAGATTCGAAAACGATTTTGTAATTAAATTAAAATCAAGCATGCAGTTTTTAAAATGTTTTTATATTTAGTTTGAATCATGTAGGTYTACGCTTTTCTAAATCTTATTGGGTTCATTTTAAGTTTCTTGTTCAACTTGGCGTAGGTCATGTACATCATTATACGCTTCAATCTAAAACTAATGTCTGGTGTGAATTTCAAATCAATCCAACTCAGAAAAGCTTATTAAAAAACCGATCAAAAAAGTTTGTTATTGCTTAAGGTCTGATGTTAAGATACCAGATACCAGGTACCAGATCCGAAGTTCGATAAAAACTCATACCATTGCATTAGGCCCTCGACAGCACTCGACCTTGATAAAAACCCAAACTCCGTTTAGATTGTTAAGTGGCTTATGTCCTTAATTGCAAGTTAACACTTTATGCGTTTTGAAAGAGTGTCTTTCTTTGTGACTTACTTCGTTACTCCATCAAGTCAGATGCCAACTTTAGTAAAATAATCGGTGATACTTAATACAGCTATTTCAAAAACTGAATACCAGGCTCTAGCTGCACTATATTATAATTGAATACAATCGGCAAAAGGTCACAGTGTTATGAMATTTTCATAAACTTTGTCTGTAAGTTTTTCCGGTGTGATTTCTTTTGAGCAAAAATTATTTACATATAAATATGTTATGTTTTAGTCCTGGTAAGCAACAAGCAAGATTCATAATGCCGCATGCGACGTGGAGCATGCTACAAAACCTTTTTGGAAAAAGCTGTAAATCTTTTTTAACATGAAGCAACTCGATATTACCTTTTTTTCCCTACATGTTCGTCTGAGTAATAACATGCACGTTTGAAACTAACCAGCATTATAACCAGCATCATTGTAACATCGAACAAATTTTGATGCGTGTAATTATAGTCAGTCATCATTTCACGCAAGTAAATCACCTATAATCTATACATTGTCGTGTAATCAGTTAGTTTATGTAAGACGTCGAATAAATTACATTCCAGTACATATTGGTTAGATTATTTTATGACTACCAAATATTACGATACGAAATTTTTTGCTTGCTTTAGCACCTGCAATAATAGGCTTACTCTAGTTAATGCACAGTCTGTATTTTAATTTCACTCAGGAACGGAGAGCCTCGGAGTTACATTCAAAACATTTGAGCAATTGAGTGGTCTATGGATATCTATACTACATAGAATATGGCGGGTTTGGAAGGCTAAAGGTACGTCGGCTTCAAACATTAGCATGCACGATATTCACAAAAAAATTGAGTAACTTATCCTCATCCTTATGATTGACTAAGACTAGACAAGGCAACATACCTCAAACGTTGCAGGCATTTTAAAAAAAGAAAAAACTTTTGATAAAACAGAATTAACAAAGCCAAAAAATATCCCAATACAACATTTTCGAATTCGTACACTATACCGCTGTGTTTCTGCATTACAGACTCATTTACTAAAGATTAGCCTCTTTTCAATGTCACAATATTCACAAATACCAACGGCAAAAATAAGAATGTACAATTTTAACAATACAAACACTTCCAATGTCACGTGAATATTCTACATAAAATTGATGCTATTCCTGAGCAACAAAGAACGAAACAAACTGAAATAACTGATATATTTAGCACTGCCTAAAAGCGGAGTTCCCAATAGTAGAGGGAGCCCAATTCAGATAAAATTGCCGGAAAGATGAAAATAAAATCCATCGGGTAAAAATATCTTCAATTGTACAAAGATGTTTTGTTGCGTTTGTGAAACGTTTTTCATAGAAAATATATGCGAAATAAGCAAATGAAGGCCTAAAYCTCATTTTCAAATAAATATTTTGCTTTGGGTTAGCACTTTGATTCCACTTTCATCGGTCATCTCCACTTCTAAACAAGTTTAAACTTTCCGAATAATATGATTTTTTACGGTGGCCCACAAGTCTCACGGCAAAACAAAAACTCACGGCAAAACAAACAAAAGTCACGGCAAAACAAACTAAACTCACGGCAAAATATAAAACGAAACGAAACGAAACGAAACGAAACGAAACGAAAATTGTAAATATTTTAAACCGAAGCTCGATTATTTTCTCTCTTTTTGATCATAAATTATTTAATTACTTGATTGTAAGACTGTATGTTTGTTTATTTATTTATTTATTTATTTGTTTATTTATTACTTATTTATTTAAATAACATTATTCAAAAATAAAAATTAATTAGAATAATTTCTTGCCGAATACGATAATAGATCGTTGTTATCATTCCTAACTGTTTTTGAATGGGTTTTTAACAAACTTTTTGTAGCTGGACAGATTTTGAAATTTACACCAGACATCATTGTTAGATTGAAGTATGTGATAAAAACTATGAACACCTGAGGATCCATTGTTTCAAAATATATGCCTTTATTGAAGTGGACTAGCAATTCTGTAGCTTTCCATATCGGGTTGGCTTGGTTTGTATCATAACATTCCTCGTTACAAACTGAAGTTCGTCTATAGCTCTCTATATCTTAGACTGTTATTAACGTATTCCGAGACATCGAGTGTGCACCAAAAATTTATAACCCAATAAATTAATTTGCACAGGTACAGGGGCGTAGCCAAGAAGCCTCCATCCCCCCCCCCCCTGATATAATAGAAAAGAGAAAACTGAAAATAATTTTCATGGAAACTTCTCTTACATCGCTCGACAAAAACACAATCATTCAAGAAAACCATTCAAGCAGTCTTTAAGAAGGTTCGCGGATATTTATCGCACGCATCCTTTCCATGTTTATTATTCATTGTGCGCCCGCGCTAATCGTATAACGTCAATGGAATATTTTGATGGGCGAAAAAATCGGGTCTTTATTTTTTTCGTTTTGTTAATACTTTATATGAAAAAAATAAAAGAATCTGACCATGGGATCAAATCTGAAACGCATATTTTGTGCATAAGTGGAAGAGAATTTGTTGTAAAGGTAAAGGCTACAAGGCTTACATTTCATTTAATTGAAACATTGTCTAGAGTTCGGTGGAAAACAGGAACGAAAAATTTGAGTCAGTAAATTATGGCTTTACTTTGGATGCTTGCGTTGTTTGTGCGTTTTCATATCAAAAAAGGTACACTTCCACGCGATCTGACTTCTTTAATAGCCGAAGCTTTTAACCCTTACTTTTTTATGTACTCATTTTATTTTTAGTATGATATTCTTTCGTTATTAAAAAATGCTTATATGGTTTTAGTTGAAGACCTCAAAACCTGTCACTGAGAAGAAAGCAGCTGTTTAAGAATAGATTATTCATAATGGGGATTTAAAAATTCTTAAAGTGGTTTATCAATATTGTTGATTTTTTATATTATTATTATTAATTTATCAGGMGCAAGACAGGTGATGAGTTCAATAGCAAAGAGTATTGCAACTAAAACAACGCAAACATTGACACCTCACTTCGATCATCTCTTTCAAAATAATCAAAAAAAGGGTAATTATCTCTGTCACATCTGTCTGTCTGTCTGTCTGTCTGTCTATCTGTCTGTCTGTCTGTCTGTCTGTCTGTCTGTCGGCTAACCTACTTAGATAGGGCATCATGTTTATTAAAGTATTTTGTTATTTTGTTTACATTATTCATTTGTAAAATATACTGTTTTGCAACGGCGGACTTCCGGTTTGTATCGTTGTGACTGTTGTGCTAAATCTTATGCATAAGCAAAAAAATATGTACTCTATTTTTTTATGCATGCACAGACACAGAACACTTGCCGAAGCCGCACCAGATCTGTTACCCTCCAGCCTGAGACCGTTGTTACGCCACAAAATGTAATAACTTGCACAAAATGTAATAACAACGCAAAATGTAATAACTTTTGACGCAAAATGTAATAACTTTCAATAACGCATTTTAAAATCAATGTTTACTGAATGGACGTAAACGACACAGTAGAATAGAACAGTACAGAATAGAGAATCGTCTGGGGGRAAAAACTGGTTAGACTACATTCAAATTACGAGATATTAAACAATTGCCCGCGACTTTTTGCTAAGATTAAATGCTAATTGTTATGTATTTTTTTATTGCTTGTTGATGCACATTCTGACTCATTAATTTATGTCATTTTGGTACGTTTTTTTACCATAATGTGGTAATTTTTTTAAAGTGTTATTAACTCAATAAAATGATTAACAAGTTGACAATTTTGCATAATAAACTAGCCCTTATTCATGAGACATGTCGGGATTCAATACGATAGTTTTAACATACTTCAATTATTAAAATCATTGAAGTATGTTGATCCTGAGTGCGCTTGATATTGGTGATATTTATGAAGAGTTGCTGATTTTCCCCTCAAATATACTACTGTTGGAGTGAGTGGACTTGCTTTGTAAAAATCCACATGTTGAAATCGTGTATTGAATATTTATCTTAACGGTTCATGCGAAATTCAAGTTAAAGTCATCTGGTATGGTTCGTATACCGAGCAAATATTGATTTTCTGGTTATTTAAAATGCGTTATTGAAGTTATTACATTTTGCGTCAAAAGTTATTACATTTTGCGTTGTTATTACATTTTGTGCGAGTTATTACATTTTGTGGCGTAACAGACCGTCCAGCAACATAAATAATTTTATAAAAGAATTGAAAAAAAAAAAATTAAGACAAGCATGTTTATAATTCTATCTAGATTTAATTAATTTATTTTAGTAATTTATTCATATTATCACTACTAGCTTATTCCCAAGCATTTATCGTATTATATATCTATAAGCATAGTCCATGATATGTATTTTTGATATGYATATTTTTCGATTCATTATACAGATCATGAGAACGAAGCCGTAACCATTTCATTCTTACCAAAGAATACAACAAAAGAAAAAAGAAAAGATGTTTTGTTTCATAATAATACTCAAAGCAATCAAATACAGCAGAGAGCAGATAGAGCTTTGAATCAAGATWCTAAAATGTTAAAAACAAAAACCGAAGAAAAGAAGACTGCAAAACATGACGATCTTCAGAATGGAATTAATGTACATTTGAGTGGGGTTCCGTTCAATTCCTCGGTAAAGAAGGGAGAAAAAAATGCTGAATTTATGAAACAAAGCAACGTTTTAAAGGAAGCAACTGTCACGAGAAATGTGAAAAGAAACGAAAGACAGAATCAAAAGCAAGATCAGGATAGTGGTTTGCAAATTATTGGAAAACAAAGAAGTAAAGAGAATCAGAGTGACACCAACAAGMACGGCAAACAAAGGAACGCTGCAACGCACGTAGATTCCAACTTCAATTCACATGGCAATTCAGTTGGTATTAGGGTGTTTCTTAAGGCTCCTGCAAAACTGAAAGACAAAAGATTATCAAGCATCAGGGAATATAAACTCATGAATAAACGTACAGGTAAAAATTTYGTTCTTAAGACAAGCACTAATCGGTCTGGAAAAAAGTCTGGAAAAAATGATGATGAGCCTTTATCATGTAATTCCAAAACTAACAATTCCAAGACAGGAGAATAATTACCATAGTTAAAAATCAACCACACCCTAAATCCATTGTTTGATGTAGGTTCTTAAATTATTTGGAAAACCCAGATTCTTAAAGCCGGGGACGGAATGATATCAACAGGGGAGAACGGGGCTGAATTATAAACCCGGGATAGATTTTTAATTACACGGATATATTGTAAGCACTCTATTTCCAAAAGAACAAAGCAACAGYAATCTACCTCTCTGAATTCAATATAATGAAGTATTTCGTGTTTTGCATCGAAACAATGGAATTTAGAGCTTAGTTGATATTTTAAACCAGTTCAAACGCACAGGCTCGGTTTTGCATTAGAATTCAAGACCTCGGGCCTGCGGCCTTCGGCCTACATGTCTAATGCAAAACCTCGCCCTAGCGTTTGATCCTTTATATAGAACCAAATTAGTAAAACTGTGAACCTTGAAGAAAGAAAGTTCAAAACTCGCAAAAATATGAATTTCCAAAATCGAAATTTTATATGAAAATACATTGGTAGGCTAGATGCAAAGGTCAACTCAGCTGGAGTAAATAGACCGTTTTCTCAAGGTTGCGTGCGCATCCGACTTGACGTGCCACAAAACTGAAAAACGCAAAACCAGGAAACATGAGAAGACAGTTTTATATTTAAAGAGGAGAATAATCGATTTTATGAATTCTTATCGAAAAAAAGCTCACAGCAATGCATGATAATGCTCGTGTTCTGGTAGCTTGGCTCGTCAAGTTCCTTAAGTTTGGAAGCGCACGCAACCTTGAAAAAAAGGTCTATTGGACGGCAAAGTCCGAAACGTCAGTTAGTCATACTCTTTTTATTGTGCACTGCCAGTTCAACTTTCTTATCTCGTATCCGTCATTTACGCATTATACATCGACTCAGATCAAACTAGTTTACTCGCTAGATTTCTTTCGTCTTGCCAGAGCTCATGAATACTCCCACGTCACCAAGTTCCATGTTGACGAGCTCAAGAAATAACAATGATTACAAGACTCATCAATATCTCCAAGGTAGCAACCTTTATTTGACGAAAACATTATTTAGATTTGTATATTTCAACCAAATATATTTAACAATTATTTCAAAAAGGTATAAAGTGTTTTGTTGCACTTTGCATTTTGCATGCCAAGCCTGAATTGCAAAGTGGACGATGTGAATGCAATCAGCGAAAGGTCACAAAAATCTTACCAAACTTTGTCTGCACGTTTCTTTATTATATTTTCTTCTGTGCTGACATTATTTACATATCAATAATATATATACAAGCTTGGTTAGCAACACGCAACATGCAACATAGCTTGAAAATATTTTTTAAACAATATTTTTTCGAAATAGATGTGATACACCCTAAAACAGCCAATCAAATATTATACAGTGGAACCTCGCCTTATGGCCACCCGCTTAATACGACCACTCCGTTATTGCGGTCAGCTATTTTGTGTCCCGACGAAATGCCCATACATTTACTGTAAAATGTACCGGCTTAATGCGGTCACCCGTTAATACGGCCAACGGCCACTTTTTTGTGGTCCGATTGACAAACTTCCATACTTTTTAACCCCGTATTACGGCCAGGACAAATAGGTTACAGCTTAGATCTTAATGTAAATACTGTAAAGTTATTGCTGCAAAATCTGCGATTCTTTTATTCATTCGGTTAACATTCTACAGTAATGTTTTTTGTAGAATCAGAATCAACACAACAACTTCAAACAGAAAAACACGTACAGTGCGATGCGCTAAAGTATGTCCGCATTTATTTTATAGCGGTACAGTATTAATACGAGCCATGCCGATAGTCTGTCTGGGGTGATATCCAGCCTCGAGTCAGTATGGCTTCAAAAGAAGCTTCATTCGTCTGTACAGAGCGAAGTCACTGCCTATTTTAAAAATTAGTTGTTACTGTACTCAATTTTCTCTGTTCTACTGTTATATCTACAGTCCCGTACTACTGTGTAATTTAAAGTTTTAAAGTACTACTAAAGTTGAGTTATATCTGAGCTCCAATAGCATCAGAAGTTTTAGAAACATTATTTAAAAATACAATATGCATTATTGCACTTAATTTGTTTAGTAGTTTTGTACTGATTAATAAAACACATTTTAACATATTTTTGACAGCCCGCTTAATATGACCACCCCGTTAAGACGGCCACTTTTGAATGTCCCTTCGGTGGCCGGATTAACGGAGTTCCACTGTATCTTATAAAATATGTGCAACTTTCGTTGCTTTTTCTTCCATTCCGTTCTCAGGTAAATATATGAGGTTTACCAGAGGTTACCACAGACTGCGTACATTAGGAGCGGCAATTATCGCGCCAAATTTTAAAGATTGGGATTTTCTTGAAATTGATTAAGAATATCTTCAATAATTTTTTGGGGAAAAAATCATTTTGCAAGCTATAGATGATATCTACTATTCATTATTAAATTTATTTTTCATTTTTTAAATTGTATTTAAAGGTGTGCTTCCAGCAGACGGTGTGAGTAAAAATCAAGTTAAAATGCTTCAAGATAAGGTTAATCATCTTGAGACTGAAGTTACTGTACTGCAAACAGCAGTAGCTGGTCTTGTTCATAGAATAAATAATATGGAACGCTCATTCCAAGGTAAGAAAACTCTGAAAAATATCTTTTATCAGAAATCGATTGTCAACTGAACTGGACTCGTATTATTTCTATAGTCGCTTGGTTTTTTTGGTTTGTATAAATCAAGGTACTTGATGTGAGATAATGTTTTGTCTATGTGGCAACTACAGATTGATTGGCTGATGACACAAAGCAACTTGTAACGAGCTTTTCTGAAACTAATGGTTGGCATTTTCACATCACAATAACTAAAGTTTTGCTATTCTTGGGGAAGCATGTTACGTCATAGCCACACGTCAACTACATTGGTTGACTATAGCAAAGCGCTAGCATTCCTATTAGCTTCTCTTGTTAGCTCAACCAAAATGGTGGCTGTTTAATTGTCCTATATATCTCAAGGGATTTTGAGCCATGTGGATACCCGCCCCCAGGAATAGGTATACAAATCACGAATCTTTGGTCCTCACTTTGACTAACGATTACTCCGCTGAAATCTAATCAGTAAAATACCTACCCCAAACGATTTTCTCTCTCCTTCTTATTGGGCCTATTTATCTGCTAGTTTATAATTTGTATGGCGATCATCGTTTATATAAAGACTAAAAGTTTTWAAAAATTATTATTCCAACTCACAGAAGTATCTAATGTGACACAGAATGAAGTTATTTATGGTTCAACGCAAGCGTCTACGGCTACGACTACGTCACCATCACATTCTATTGGTTCAACACAAAAAGCAACATCAATATTCCCTTCGTTTTCAAGACAATATTACGGCACAATGTTACCAACTCAACAAWCTACGCCTACATCCCGATCTATAAACAACCAACTACTTTCACCGGGAATGTTTCTCGAGAGCATGCGGGCTTTACAGACGCGACGACAAAAACCGGTAATCGTCCGTCCCAGTACCATGCCTACATCTTTTATTCAACAACTCCAAGTGGAAGAATTGCCAGCTAAGCAGCATTTAACATCAGCTAAATCATCACCCTTTCCAGAACCGTTTTTAATGAAAGCTTCTAGCGTCGCAGAAAACTTTCACAAACAACCATTAGCCACTGAAAAATTAAAAGACAGTAGGCATAATGTGCATCAAATTATTATTCCGCTTGACACATTGTACAAAATGCAGGCTCAGGAGGGAAAACAAGTACCTGCTAACAGTTATGGTGAATCACGTGATTTAGATGAAGGTGGGCAATCACTGTCGGTATAGTGTAATATTGTATTTATGATACAAAAAGCTACACACACTAGGTCCTCAATAACAGATATAGATTCATTGGGTAAAACCTGACGACACTATGTTTTAGATAGGTATTTGGCGGTGAGATGGTGACTTTTATAATATTACAAAGTATCAAAATACGAAAGCTCTGGAATAGACGTTCGATCTACCAAGTGTTTATCATCGGGGGTTAAGACACGAGGTAGAGGTCAGTATTCGACCTACACGTTTTCAAACCTCTAGCGCCATAAGCTTAACCGTACGTGTAACGAAACAACTGGGACACGCCACGTTGACCTGTGTGTGTGTTGTATGTAAAGAGAAAATACATAGGTAGCGAGTATGACAAATTAAACAGACGTAAATGGTGAAAGGACGGTGGATATCGATTGAGATAGGTTTAGGACTTACTTGGAATGGGCTTGAGTGGTTTGTGAAGCTCGTTTTATGATTTACAAAGTAATGTTTACTGGGTTTGTTATAGCTAAAGGCTTATCATCGGCCAACTAATGTCCACGAAAGGGGGAGGGGGGGGGGGTGGGTAAGGGACGACATTAGTGGTGAGGCTACGGCTGAGTCTGAATTCGGGCTAACCTCCTTTATTTAAAATGAGAAGCCTTGTTCGGCCTTGCAAATAACTGGGTGACCTCCTTTTCGTTCGCTAATCAGCTATTACGATAACGGTGTATGGGTGTAAATAGACCTTTTAAGATTCGTATGCGAATTCTCTATATCAGATCACATGACATTTCCTTGAGAATTGTTTGTCTATGACACATGAAAGAATTAACTCCCAAGAGTGTAATCACATGGTCTGAAATGTGTACAACAAACAACGAAGCTAAAAAAGTCGATCACATAATCGTCACAATTTTTACGTAGCCGCGCATGCGTCATTGCCAGGGCAACGATCGAAACCAAATACAAATGAAAAGTCCATTATTATAACTTGTAAATAAGGTATGGGTATTCGCTTTGGCCTGGGACACGCCCAAAGCAGGGCGCGTGATCTGATATTTCGAGTTTAAACCCGTCTTTATCCAGGGTGTGTGGGTTGCTATGCGTTTCTTAAGTGCATTGGGAAGATACAAGTGTTCTTTTATATATTTGTGACCAGGACATTAATTACCAATTCAACCAAATGGACTTTGAATTGTATTGAAGTGAAATTGTACTATACCATGAAATTGTCTTTTTTCCCTTAAGCACGAAATTATATTCAATTCAAAGCATGACTTTTTTTATTCGAATGCTAATTAACGTTGCAGCTTTTTCTTAGTTGTATTGAGGAAGTAAATGACTTTGTCTTTGTTTCACTGCAGGCAATATTGTGTCAATCCATTCAAACACCATGCTGAAAGACAAAACAAAGACATTTCAAGCTCCTGTAAACAAACATCAGCAATATCTTGGAATGGATACGACGCAAGACGGCCATAGTAGTGAGCCACGGGTCAGACCCATTGTCAATATAATCGTACCAAATTCTCAGACAGCATCAATTCTTGAAAAAGGTAAATTAAACTGTTCTTAACAAGAGATAATCATTATTACGTGAATATGTGGCTAAGCGTCAAAACGAAGAGCAAGAATGTGTCTTAGTCTGTGTCTGTGTCTGTCTGTGTCTTGATATTACAATCTCTGGGCAGGTCAGGATTGCATGGTGATAAAACGCTTACCTCGCACCTCTGAGTTCCAGGGTTCGGAGTTAGTTGGTTCTCTTTCTGACTTCCAGGGTTTTTTCGGCCCTTCGGTTTTTCTTTACTCTTTTCAAAATCTAACCTAACTTATTCAAACTGGTTAGAGCTGTGCTCCGACTGCCCGATCGAGGCGCCAATACGTTCTTTGAATTCGTGCCTGATTGAGTAACCACTGCTACTTTTGCGGTTGTAATTAGCGATAACACGCTTGTTTTAGTTTGTATTTTATTTTATTATTATTATTAAAATGAGACACCACGCGTCTACGTGTTGCCATAGCCAGCGGCTACAMAGCGCAAGGAAGCGGTAGCTGGGTATTCCATAGCCTAGCCTTAGCTTAGTGATACCATAAAACAACGTTTGGAGTTTTACACCTTTTGTTGTTCATTAAGAGAAAATGTACATTCATTTGTGCCAATAGTTGTATCAATAACGTGTAATGTACTTTCATCAACACCACAAGTAACATCATTAGC